GAGGGAACATGAAGACCTTAGCCTGGAAGACAACATGAGGCCCAGAAACCTGTTTCCTGACAAAGCAGCACTCCAGAGGCCCATCAAGAAGGCTAATTGTGTGTCTGTGCCGGGTACATAGTGAATAGCCTGTAGGGGCTCCTGCCCCCAACTGAGATGGGCTCTCTGCAGGTTCAACAGTGGAGGCAGAGTGTGTCCCTGTGTGCCTGTCTGCTTGTAGGGGAGTCTCATCCAGTGAGACTCCTATATTTCATGCAGGTGTCCATGTCCAGTGCTTGCCTGGTAAGGGGACTTTTGTTAGGGTTCCATGAAAGTACAAAAATGAAGGAATGGAGAGATAGGACAGGTTTATAAATGCTCACACTCTGGACCGATGAGTCTTTTCTCCTTAAGGGAAGGGAAATGAATGCAGGCTGTAGCAGTTATGGCTGGCAGTCCCTGGAAATGGCTGGTGGATGAAGAGATGTTTGGGAAGTTGGCATCTGATGTCTCTCCCACTCCCCTGAAGGGATCAGCACACCTGGGGGCTGATCAGCCCACATAGGGCCCACCTGGCTGTGGGTAGTTCAGTAAAAGGTGATCAGGAAAAGGTGTTCTCCACCCAGGAAGGGGGCAGGTGTCCTGGGTGATGGATAGCTGTGGAATTACTGCAGGAAGCTCACTTCTCAGTTAGGAGCAGAGCTTAACATGGGGTCCATGCCCCAATACATGCCTTATTGAGCTTCTCTTGTACAACTCTCGTGACCCTAACTGGTTTCCTGTGACAATTCCGGTTATGGTTTACTCTGTTGCCTGGGAATTAGAGTGGACAAACTTTGTCTTTAGAGGGCCAGATTATAAATATTTTGCGCTTTCTAGTCATGAGTCTCTTGCAAGTACTGAACTGTGCTATTGTAGCTAAAAACAAAACAAAACTCATCAGCAGTCATAAACAAACATCTGAATAAGTTGTGGGCAGTACAAAAGTGAGTGTGTAGTACTGTGGTCCAATAAAACTTTAATTACAATAATAGGCAGTAGACCCAGATTTGGCCCCAGGGTCCTGGTGTGCCCATTCCCTACCCTAAAGGACTTTAATTATATGACTTGATCTCTGGTTCAGCTGTACTCATTACACTACGTAACCCTAAATAGGATCCTGGTCTTTCTTGAGGGGTGGTGGTATAAACACCTGTTAGTTACTTGTGTCTTTGAATGCATGGGCCAATTTTAGGGAAGGTCTGTGCCAAGTGATTTCTCTCACCACTCTTCTGAGAAGGGCAGTTGAGCCTCATTCCCAAAGTTGGATAACCATGTCCTGTCTGCCTGGCAGCCTGTTCTGGGCAGTTGTCTCTTGGTGAAGGACAGTGACTAACCAAGGGCATGCAGAAGCATTATTTATAGCATTCTGATCTGTCACCTAACCCTTTGCCCATGCCACCCTGAATGAGAACTACAGTGATCTGGAATAACCTATTCAAATTACAATTTGTGAGTTTTCTTACTTTTTACAATTTTAACAAAATATATTTCAGATTATGATTTTTTTTTTTTTTTTTTTTTGAGACAGGGTTTCACTGTGCAATTCAGGCTCTCCTTATGCTCATTTTATAGCCCAGGCTGGTCTTGAACTTGCAAGGATCCCTCTGCCTCAGCCTCCTAAGTACTGGGATTACAGAGGTGTGCCACCACATCCAGCAAGATTATGATTATTATTGTTATTATTGCTTGGGTTTTTTTAAACAGTGTCTCACTATGTAGTTCAGGCTGGTCTTAAACTCTCTATATATTCCAAGGTGGCCTCAAGCTTGCAGTAGTCCTCCTGCCCCAGCCTCTCAAGTGCTCAGATTATAGGTGTGTGCCATCCCATTTAAGATTTTTATACAGTTTAATATTGTAAAATTTGTGCATGTTCTCTATAGTAAACAAAGGAAGTAAAGAATTTCAAAACAGTATATCATCTTAGCATTCAAAGAAGACAGTGTGTTTTCATTTAGTAGCTTGCTTTTTGAAAAAATAAGACAGCATGCAATACCCTTTCTTCTTTGTCAATAAATTCATTTGCCAGTGTCATTTAAATGACTCAGCATACCATCCTATGCATATTCCACTGTTTACCTAAGTTCTCTTAGACAATGTGGTGACTTATATTTTTGTAGGTGAATTATCACCCATCCATGTTTCAGGAAATACAGTTGGGTTTGGGCAGTATTCTCAGATTCTGAGACAGGATAGAATAGGGAGGAGAAGAGAAATGTGGTCTTCCTGGTTTGGGGCCTGAGATACCTGGGGTGTGACTACCAGAGACCTGGCTGCACTGTGAAACCTAGACTCTCCAGGCCTGGATGGGGCTGATTGACAGGGGAAGAAGAGGCTACTTTTCTTGTGTTCTCTTGCGCTGGGTTCTTTCTCTAGTATCTATTGCCTTTGAAGCTTAATGGCATGTCAGGATATTTCTGAGCCTGCTGGAAGAGGCTTTGAGGTTGCACCTCATTAGGTAGAAGCCTGGAGTTGGCTGAGGTATTTGAATGATGGTCTCTGGTTTGTGGTCTTAAAGGCTTGGGCGAAAGAACAAGTTATCAGAAATCAAAATAAATAAATAAATAAATTTTTTAAAAACTCCATGGGCTTTGGTTTAGAAGTTTGTCTTTTTCCCAATACATTTATTCTTTTGGGTCCATGGAAGCTAACATTCAACTAATATTTCCTTTCTGTCAGTAAATCTCAGAGATAAAACAACTTTGTCTTTGCCCACACAAGGTAGAAATTGAGATGTTAGTGTCCCAAGTTCAAAGAGAGTACTTAGCTTCGAAGGGACAAAGGCCACTTGCTTGCCTTTCATGGTGTCTTCTAGATACCATTAAATAGGCTGGTTGAAGCTGGGCATGGTAGTGCATGCCTGTAATTCAGCACTTGTAGCTGAGGCAGGAGGATTGTTGTGAGTTTGAGGCCAGTCTGGCTACATAAGTGAGTTTAAGGCCAGTCTGGACTACATAGTAAGACCCTGTCTGAACAAACCAAAAGAAACAAACAAAAAATGCTGGCTGAAGAGTGCTTGATGTGACAGTCTTGAGATTCCTTGTTGGCCTGCTCTGTGGGTTATTCTCTTTAAATTCATTTATTTCTGGGTCTCTTTTCAGTTGAGGAAAAGTGGGGAAAAGGAGAGCAACTGAAACTTTCACTTAAGGGCAAGGCCAGATTTGGAGAAGGGAGGTAGTAGGTGGAGACTTCCTGTCTGGTTCTCAAAGTAAGCTCCTGGGATCAGCAGCATCATTAGCACTGGAGAACTTGCTAGAAATGCAGATTCCCAGCACCATCCCAACCTCCTTGAATCAGAAGCTCTGGGGTGTGGCTTTCCAGTCTGTGGCTTAACAAACCTTCCATGTGATTCTGATACAGACTAAAGCTCTAGGCCCCTGGCCTCCAACTGTTCCTATGGGTTCTTAGTTTTCCATATATAGCATCACATCACATCCCTGAGCAGTTATGAGCCAGTCCTGCAAATGACATGAGATGCTAGGGTGGGTTGTGAAGGATGTCTCAGCGGAGTTAGCAGTGGAGCTGAGCCCCAGGAGGGAAGAAGAGCACTGGGGAGCATAGGTCTGTAGAGGAAGCCCATTGGGTTCTAGGAATGGTTTGGCATGGCTGGCATAATCAGTGGAGGGAATGTGGTGACCGTAAGGTTGGTAAGGCAGGAGATCTGGAAGGTTCTTTCAGTCCTTTAGGAATCTCAGAGAAGCTGCAAACCCTGAGGGGAGTGGCTTGCCAGGATTTTCCTTTTAAAGAAATTAATCTGGCCAGCAGTATGCGAATGAGTGGAGGGGTGGGGCTTTAGGTAGCAGTTGTTGGATGGCACAGGTGGGAGCGCCCACGTGGATAGGAGGAGTGAAGAGGATTGGGAAGCCGAGAGTGGTGCTGTACCCTATGGGTGGGGAGCCCTGGGACAGTGGACCTCAGCCATGGCTCATTCATCTGCTAGGACAGCTTGCTGTTGGGTTCTTATACCAGCCATCCCAAGGCCTTGTGGCAGTGAAGCTAGGAAGGGACCAGAGGGGGCTGTGGTCTTTAGAGGTGTGATACCACTGTTTTGCTCTAAAGGAAGCTGGTCTGTGATGCTCTGTAGTTATGGGGCATTGAATTTGCATAGTAAATGTGTGTGTGTGTGTGTGTGTGTGTGTGTTGTGAGGATCAAATTCTGGACCTCATGCATGCCAGGCAAGTGTGCTACCACCGAGCTGCTGTGCCAGCCACAGCTTGGTAGATTCTTATTAACATGCCTTCCAGGTGAGAGGAGTGGCATACAGATGGTATATGCTGACTGTGAAAGGGCTACTGTGAGACTCTATGGGGAACCTCCCTGCTGGAATAAAAGTCCCTTCTCTGTTAGAATTATTAGAATTGCCCATTTTATTTATTGACTGTTAGAATTGCCTGTTTTATTTATTGACTGTTAAAATTGCCCATTTTATTTATTGCCTATTAGAATTGCCTGTTTTATTAATTGCCTATTAGAATTGCCCATTTTATTTATTTTTGAAAAATAACATAGGTCACTTTCTTACTGACACCAGTTATTGTATTTGGCCAAGTGACCATCCCTGACAGTGATTTTAATTTCTGGTAACTAAATTTTAAGGCCTTCCTGCCCCAGATAACTTCCAGAAGAAACCTCCTTTCAGCATGACTGAGGTGGCCTCTCTGGCAGCTCTTTAGGAAGAGAGGGAACGTCAGCAGAAAGAGTTCCTTGTGGAGCTTGGAGACTCCTGCGCCTGGCACGGCACTTTTCTTTCTCAATCTCTGACCTTGAGAGTGGGAAGCTGTGCTTATTCCAGTTGTTTCTTTCTCTAGGGAAGATTTTTATTTATTTTCTTGATAGCGGTTAGCATGTTAGGACTAGAAGAGGGGTGTGGTAACTCACCAGAGCCCTCCTGAGGAGGGACAAAAGACGCCAAGTCATACAGCTGGTGGTGGCAGAACTACAGCTGGATCCAGACTGAGGACAGTCTTTTCTTCTTGGGCAGGTGCTGCCTCTGACCCTAGCTGTCAGCTCCAGTTGGCTTTGGGTGTCTCCCTGGTACCTTCCCATAATAGATGTGTCTGTGTGTTGCTGTGTCTTGAGCACCCCAAGCCAGGCATGTTGACCTTGAGTCTGCGGGGATGAGCCCAGAGTCACAGGAGGAAGTATTAGTAAAGGATGGAGTGACTTTTTCTTTTTTTCTTTTCATACAGTGCCTAGCTAACAGGCACACCAAATGTGGCCATCCATCCGCCACCTGAGTAGCTTTCTAAATCTGTGGTCACTGGCACTGGGCTTCCCCCCTCACAGGACAGTAGGAAAGCTCCACTGCTGAGCTCCTCCTGGGTGAGGCCTCCAAACTATTCAAGGACAAGCAGATATAGTGGGTTGGGGGATACTCTCAGTGTGGACTCTAATACTTGTAGATGACATAATAACTATGACAGGATTCTTCAGAAGGTTTTTTTTTTTTTTCCTTCTTTTTTTTTTTTAGCAGAACTGGGGATTGAACTCAGGCCCTTCCGCTTGCCAGGCAAGCGCTTATTCTACTGAGCTATCTCTCTGGCCGATTCTTCAGTACTAAGTGTGCTTTGAGGTTTTTAAAATTTATTTACATTCAGTCATGTTGGAAATATTCCCTCCATGTACCTGGTTCTTGGGGCATTCCTGGAGGGGATTTCCCACAAAAACCACCATAATTAGATTATGGGTTATGCTGGGATTCTGATGAATTAGAAGTAGGGTTTTTGTAATGTTTTGATAATCAGGTGAGAAAACTATCTCTTTGTGGAAAGATACTTCTTCTGGTGGTTTTCCCTCTGTCCTTCGCTCTGCTCCTTTGAGGACGCAGACTCCCTATAGAAAACGCTGGGATACTGATAAAGGAGGGAGGGTTGACTCATTCTGTACTGTGAGGTAGGCTTGGTTTGGCCCTGAATGGCAGGTAAATGTATTTGCCAAGGGGATAGGTATGAGCTGGTTGCAGTTTTTTTTTTGTTGTTGTTGTTGTTGTTTGTTTTATTTTCCAGAACCGGGGATTGAACTCAGACCCTTGCACTTGCCAGGCAAGCCAGTTTTGAAATCCATGTGTTAATCTGCTTACAAATTACAGATTGTGGTTTTTGTATTTTATTTTTAAATATATACTGATTTGAGAAAAACAGGTTTTACCTAACAATACTTAAGAACATATATGGACCTTCTTTCCATTTTGTGCTCCTGAATTTATGGTAAAACAAACTGAGTCCCACTGACCCAGTGTCTAGGACATTTGGAAAGAGAGTGTCATCAGGGCTGTAGTGGGCCTGGTACCAGCTCCTACTCCAGGCTGAAGCCCCTCCCCCAATGCACACAGACACACTGGGATGCTCCTGCTTTGACATGGGGTCTCCTGCCATCCCTTCCCTCTTAGGCATGTTTCTTCAGCCCTCTCATTGTAATAGGGATCATCTTAGCTGTCTCAGGCTCTAGGATCTATGGTGAGAGTTGGACAGTTTGGGAATTCACTGGGAGGGTAAGATGAGACCAGTGGGACAAAAGGAAAAGCATAATTAATTACTTTTGATGTATACTTTTTAAAAGATAATTCATTTACATTTTGTAAGTATGGTATATGAGCTAAAAAATATTAAGAAAATCCAGTTAGGAAAACAGTGAAAGAGACAGTTATTATTTGTAGTTCTCATGTACAGGAATTCAATTTTTTGGTTTATTTAGTATATTTCCTCTTAGGAATAATTTTGAGTTTTTTTTTAAAGCATCATTGTAAAGTAGGTGTAATTTTAGCCTGCTGTGAAGTTGTGTTCAGTGCCAAGTTAGCAACCACAAGAGTCAGGACACAGGGTCTGGAGTGACTTTTTTTAAAAATGTATTTAGTACCAGGTCTACAGTAGGGTCTCACTTTGTAGATCGGACTCATATGATCTTCCTGTTGTTCAGCCTCCCAAGTGCTGGGATGACAGGCGTGTGCTGCCCTACCCAGTCTCAATCCCTGTCTCAATGCGTCCCGGGGGCAGATCTGGCACTGCATGCCAGGGATCAAACCCCCAGCCCCGGCATCTGCCTGAGCAGGCACTTTAATCAGCTGAGTTATCTGGCTGGCCTTGGGGTAACTTTTTAAAAGTTAAACTCCCATCAGTGCAGTGAGCTAATTGACCAAGGAATCATTTATCAGCTTTCTGTAGTGAGACTTTAGCATTTGGTTATTTGCATGAAAAATCCAGGCAGATGTGTTTTATGCCTGAAAACAAAGGCAGAAATAAACAGGTCTTAGGAGGGTGTTCTGAGGTAGCTTGGGACATCAAGTAGTGGGTGAGATGAGGTTTTGGAATTATTGGGAGTTGTGACTTTTGATAGATTCCTGTTCTGGTCATTTGAATGGACTTAAAGGTGAATCAGAGGAAGGCTTGTTTTGGGAACCCTTAGGGTGTGGGGTATGGTGGGTGGACCTGGGGCTGCCCTCAGGGGTCCTTTTTTGTCCCTCATCACATGTTGTCTTTGATGTCTTTCTAAAACCTCCTCCTGGGACCTAGGGTGTAACTTAGTGGTAGAGTACTTTCCCAGAATTCACCAGGTCCTAATTTTTTCCCATGCACTGAAAAAATAAAAAACAAAACATCATCATCTACTTTCCTAGGGTCGAGAAGGCTCTGGTAGGTGTTTGTACCTACCCTGATTTTTTTTTTTTTTTCCAGAACTGGGGATTGAACTCAGGCCCTTGCACTTGCCAGGCAAGTGCTTATTCTACTGAGCCATCTCCCCAGCTCTCCCACCCTGATTTTTAAGGGTGGTTAGCAAAGTTAATCTGTAAGTTGGAGCATTGTGAGGTGATGCAAGGCCCACCTGAACTCTGATTACACACTCTTTCCCCAAATGTTCTAGGGATGTGGCTGTGGAGCTCAGTCTGTTTATGACCATAAATTTCAGGAGCGCAGAGCAGAGTCCGGGGTGTTACCTGGCACCTGGTGATGGGCTGGGCCAGCTCCTTCTGCTTCTATCAAGGGTATGGTCTCCTCCAACCCTCCCTGCCATGAAGCAGAGTGTAAATGTGAGTGGCTTTTTGTGTCTGAGCGGAGCCCAGGCCTTGTGAGTCATTGGGCAGAACATTTGGGGAGGCAGCGTGATGTGGGCATGGAGCAGGCAGGGCTGGGTAGGACCCCAGGGACACTATTGAGGAGTGGCATGACCTTGGCTAGTTAGTTCACCTTGCTGGTCTTAATTTTCTCACTTGTAAATGGGGTGAATAATAACTGTGTCACCGATGGTTTATAAAGATTGGGAAATGTGTGGAAAGCACCTCACCCTAGTGTGTGGTAGCTGCTGACACTGGAAGTGTGTTCTCCAAAAGCACGTGTGGCAGGTCATCTCAGTGTTCCCAGTGCCTGTGTGGGAGTGATTTGCTCCGATGATCCAGATATTTTTCCTTTTAAAAAAGGCTCTATCTTGTACTCAGGAGAAGGGTCCATCCCTGTAGGAATGTCTGGAGTGGGGCCAGCCAGATAGCTCAGTGGATTAAAGTGCCTGCTAAGGCAAACGCAGGGACCTGGGTTTGATCCAAGGCATGCTATGGCAGCCCCACCCCGGGGTATGCTAAGATGGCAATTGAGACTGGGCATGGTGGCATGCACCTGTAATCCCAGCACTTGGAAGGCTGAAAACAGGAGAATCACTAAAAGTTCGATCTACGAAGTGACACCCTGTAGACCTTATACTAAATACATAAAAAAATAATAACCAGGCCGGGAAGATAGCTCAGCAGAATAAGTGCCTGCTTGGCAAGCACAGGTTCCTGAGTTCAGTCCCAGGTACCACCAAAAAAAAAAAAAAAAAAAGAAAGAAAAAAAAGAAAAAGTGAACAAAAAACTAGGCCTGCTTGGAGCAGCTGCTCATCCTCACAAGTTGAGGGCAAGGCAGGTGAAGGACAGGCTGGAGAGAACTGTCTTCAGATGTCCTTGGACTTCTGCTTAAAGAGCCTTATTTGCATGGGTTTCCTCCTCTTGCTTTGGTTAATTGTTGTGATGGGAAGGTTGAATTCTCTGGCTGTCCCTTCCTTCTTGCTGGCCCATCTCCATGGGGCCCACATGTCTGGGCCCTTCTTCACCTGTATGTGTTTATCCACTCAGGTTCTCCCACCCAAAGTACTGTTCATAGCCCTGTCTTCTTGGCTGCTGACTTTCGTACATCTGATGTTTCACTGGGTTGGGATGTTCCTGGTTGCATCAGGGGATCTCCTACTGTTCCTTCCCTCTTGTGTATCTTCAGCCTCCAGGGTGTAACGGGACTCATCTTAGGCCCAGCACCTAGCCCCGAGGAGTAGTTAATGACAAGCCTGGCGGTGTATGAACTCTACTGTTCTGTTCAGCTTTCTGACCTGACCTGTTTTGGGAAATACTTTACACTGTGGCCCAGTAAGAGAAGAGTGAGAGAGGAAGCTTCCAAGATGGGCCCCCTTGGGCTCTCATGTTCACTTCCCAGCTTTGGTGTGGGAATGTCTGCCTCTTCTCAGTACTGGGTGGGACCTTGGAACTGATTGTCCCCTGGGCCCAGGCTTCATTTGGAAATACTGGTTTGGCAACTGCAGAAGGCTGCAGTGGGCAGAGTAAGGGATTTAGGTGTGGGGTGGAGTGGGGCTCTGGTTGTCCCTCAGTCTCTGGGCATTTGTCAGAGGTTTCTTTGGGCAGAGTAGGAGAGATGGGGAGGGATATTGCCTGAGTCATCGAGGAGTTGGCTGGGCTGTCAAGAGCAGTCCCCTGGGCCCTGCAGGAACTCCTAGGGAGTAGGATGCTCTTGGTACAATGCACACTTTTGCTCTTGAGGAAAGAGTCAGTACAAAGTATGCCAGTCCTAGTTCTGTACTAGCACTTGACCTCTCTGAGCCCAGGGCATTTTGTGGGGTGGCTGTGAGGACCCAGTGAGGCAACATTCGGAAAGTAGTGAGTGCCCCATGTGCAGACTCAGCAGTCTTTCATGCTGCTCAGTGTCTGGTGGAGCCAGGAGTCACCAGAGCCTGCCATGGGCCTGGGCCCATTCTTTTCTCTCAACTTGGTCAGAAGGCCAGATCAACAGATTTGCCAGTTGGCCAGTTGCCTTCTGCCCAGAGTTTGTGGAGCGGGTGAGTATGCGAGACGTGGAGCTCCTTTCCCTGACTTGGCTTCCTCTCTTCCAGTCCTGAAGCATGGCTGCCATGTTGGGGGATACCATCATGCTGGCCAAAGGCCTTGCCAAACTGACCCAGGCGGCCCTGGAGACCCACCTACAGCACTTGGGCGTTGGTGGGGAGCTTATCATGGCAGCCAGGGCCCTGCAGTCCACAGCTGCAGAGCAGATGGGCGTGGTCCTGGGGCTGGTACAGGTAAGGAGACTGTTGAAGCCTTGGGGGTAGGGGGAAGAGAGTGCTGGTGTGCAGGGAATCGGATTTGGCACTCTTGGGGAGGCCAAGGGGTGTGAAGCAAGATGCAGATGCCAGGTGGCTGGTCCTGTGGCTAGAGCCAGAGAGCCCAGTGGCTAGCATTCCTGCTATCTAGGGCCATAGGGAGGGTGTGGCAGAATATCTCAGGCCAGGAAGTCCAAGATCAAGGTACTAGCAAGTTAGGTGTCTGTGAGGGCTGGGCTGTCTTACTGGGAGATGGTTGTCATCTTGCTGTGCCCTCACATGGCAGAAGGAGGGAGACAGTACTTGCTGGGATCATTTTCATAAGGGCAGTCATTCAAGTCACTTTCACAGACCCCCTCCTGTACCAGTGCAGAGGGCGTTGGGTTCGGGATTGTTAGGGGTGCACCTTGGGCAGCCGCTAGCAGAGCCAAGTGTCCTGTTTGCCCACTTACTGCCCAGAGCCTTGGGTCTCTTTTGAATTTGTGGGTCTTTGGAGACCTGGCTCAGGCAGGGCTCTGTTCCTTCTCAGGGTGGCACCAACACAGCACCGCCAGCCTCCTTGTCCCTCATGGTAGGGGAAGTGACAACTTCATGCTGGGACCCTGAAAGCCTCCATATTTTCCACAGAAGGTGTGGTTTTAAACAAGTTTGGCTAAAGCAGAGGGTTGCCTGCCATTGTGTCCCTGCTGTTGCCAGCAGCTTCCCAGATAGTTCAGGGGACAGAGATAGTGTAGGTGAGCATGCACATGTGTGGTGGACATGTGTGTTGGGAGCAGTGGCACAGAGACTGCACTGCTTCCTCACTCCCTCTGGCCTGAGCCTGGCTGACCCTGGACAAAAGCTATAGCCCCTCCTCCTCCTGCTTTCTTAAGTGTCCTGTGGTGACACAATGTCTGTCTGATGTTGTGTATGTTAAGGTTTGGACGTCTTTCTACCCATGATGTCCTGGGGTGGGGAAAGCCTGGAAGCTTACCCCCACTTCTCAGATGTGGGAGCTAAGACTCAGCTGTTTGCTACCAGATCATAAGAGGCTCACTAGAATCCTTGTCCTTGTCCCTGCCCTGACTCCCTGCCACCCCTTCCACTGAAGCAGGGCTATGGCTCCTGAGGTGTTTGATGCCTTTCAGCACCCTGTATCCAATTTTTGGGGTTTGGCCTGTGGATCCCTCAGTGAGTGACCTTCTCCAGTCCCCACCACAGAAGGGAGATAACATGCTGGGCTTGGCAGCTTGTCCATGAGGGCTCAAGTCCTCTTGTCTAGCTTCCTTCTGGCCTATCCTCTCCTCCCAACAGGCCCAGGGTGGTGTCTGACAGGCAGGGCCATCCCTGGCAGCTGTGAGGTTGGAAGCAGGATAGTCCACTGCCATGAAGAAGACAACCTGAGCAAGGGCTACCTGGGTTCCACTTACTCCCTGATCTCTTGGGGTGGTGTCTCCCTTTGGCCCTGTGGGCTGGGGTCTGAGGTGCTAGGAGCTTTGTGCATCAGCTCCCTGAGGGTCTTTCACATGCATCCTAAGCAGGTGTGTCCTGAAGCTGCATCCCTATACAGCACAGTTATGTCAGCAGGCAACAGTGACCAGGGCCAAGTGGCCGCTGTGGGAGTTGTGGGACCCTGCCTCACTCCAGGTCCTCCCCTCGCTGTCTGGGAAAGAATGGCAAGGCTAAGTGCCATTTCTGTTTTGAGGGAGCCAGGTGGCCCCAGGATGGCCAGTGGGGCAAGCCTAGGCTTTTAACCTTTGCTGTTCCATTTGCCCATGGGTAGTCTTTACCAGTGAGCTCAGGTCTTAGTCCTAGTTTACCATTTGACAAATGAGGGTAACTGCTGGAGTGTCTCTTCTGGTGAAGGTGAAGGCCTATGTGTGGAGGTAAAGGCCTCAGAGTCTCTCCAGACTCTGAGGCATTGTAGGGTGCCGAGAATAAAGGGCCTGCAGCTTCCTACAGCTTTTGCATAATATGTGAGCAGCACATAGGCCTGGATATTTTACTCCTTGGTACTTCAGTCAGGGATCCAGGCCCTTGGCCTTCCGTCAGGACTCAGTGCTATTTAATGCTAGCCTGACCTGGCAGTTTCCTTGGCCTTGGCTGAACCCCTCATCTGACTATGGGAAGCCCTATTTTCAGATGAGGAAGTAGCAGAGAAGGGTTAGGACCTCACTCAAGGTCATTCCAAGTTCAGAGGTAGAAGCGGGCCCTGGCACCCCTGAGTGACTCTTTAAAGAAATTGCATTTTACCCTCTGCCTGCTTCCCCTGTACCCCAGCCCGAGATCCCAGAGATAACCAGGCCTGATCCTGACTGTGATCCCTTCCAGGGAGAGTCTCTTAATTCCAGGACCAGACTAGGTGGTAGAACTCACGTCTGCAGCAAGGGGCTGACTGGTGATAGGTCAGGTGGGTCCCCTTTCCTCTCTCTAGTCTTTGGTGGTCTTTATGTCTGAATACTTTCCCTGGCTGGTATTTTACCTGGTTTACCCTTCCCTTGACAGAGCCCTGGCAGAAGCTGGCTAGAGCCCAGGTCTTAGATCCTGGGCAGGGAGGGGTCTCAGGTCTTGTGGGTAGGGCTGTATCTCAGAGAGTTGCAGAGGTGAAGGTGATAGCCATGGACAGTGCTCTGCTTTTGTTTCTTTCCTCTCATGATAGCCTTTTCTTCTTTCAGGGTCAACATAAACATGAAGTGTCTTATGCCACCGAGAGCTTTGATGACCTAGAAGCAGAGATCCCCTTTTCAGGAGCACAGACAGCTGGGGCCTCCGCTGATTTCCCTGAGGCCTCCACCATTGACCAGTCACCATCTCCATCCAGTGGTCACACCCACAGTGAGGGCCCGGCTCCTGCCTATGTTGCGAGTGAACCATTTAGGGAAGCCGGGTTCCTGGGACAGGCCACTTCCCCCCTGGGCAGGGCCAATGGGAGGCTGTTTTCTGACCCCAGAGACTTTTTCTTCCCCACTGGCTTCCAACGAAGGTTCTTCCATCAGGATCAGTCTCCTGGTCTCACGGCTGAGGACATTGAGAAGGCCCGGCAGGCCAAGGCCCGCCCCGAGAGCAAGCCACACAAGCAGATGGTGCGTAGGGAACCTCTTGGCCTCTGGGCTGTTGTCATTGGCTTCCTGTCTGGGGAATTCCTTCTAGATGCTGTGGTTAAGGGTCTTTAGGAATGTGGGTCTGTCCTTGGTGAAGTGTGCTGCCTTTGGGAGGACCAGGGAGTGTGAGGGGCAGCATGAACCTCGAGGCTGGTCTTACCCCCATTTGCTGATAGTACAGGTCTCTTTCTTTTCTCCCTCCAGCTCAGTGAGCGGGCGCGGGAGAGGAAGGTGCCAGTTACGCGGATTGGGCGGCTGGCCAACTTCGGAGGTAAGCAGGCCATGTGCCCTGTGCTGCCTCACTGCTGTCATGCCACTCCCAGTTGAGGGGAACAAGGGTTGTCCTGGGGTCTGTGTGGAGGTAGAAATAGGTGGAGCATCACCCACCTCCCAGGGTAGGGAGCTGGAGGCGGTGGCTGCCCTTGCAGTAGCTGTTGCAGGGCTGAGTGTTTTCTGTGGGAGGACAGCCTGGTTATAGGGTTCTAGCTCTGCCCACTTGCCTGGGCTGGTATGTGCCTGATGCTTCCTGTGAGTATAGCTTGGCCTGCTTGACAGGCCTTTTCCTTTGGCCCCAGCCTCACAGTGAGGATGGAGGCTTCAGCAGAAGGGAAGCTGGTAATGAGGATATGCTCTTCACTGGGGCCATTTAGCTCCTAAACAGAGAAGGCTTTGCTTTGGAGACCAGCCATTGGGGGACCCATTTGCTGCATCCCCACAGGCCTGTAGCTTGAGAGTAGAGTGTTGATGGGATGCTGTGGCCCTGAACTACTGTTGGGTAGCATTAGTTTAATATGCTGCGTGCAGTGTTGGGGCCTTTATTTATAACTTGCTTTGAGAGTTTGGGTAACCACTGTGCCCACGTAGACTTGTGGCCAGTATAGCTTTTAATGAGTTAAAGGATGCTTCCAGAGTATGAGTTTAGAGCAGTTGTATCTGCTTTTATGACATTGTATTATCCTACCCACTGCTTATCTACTGGACACAATGTCCCTATTGAGAGTGCCATGTCCCTTGTGGTAATGTATTCTAGGATGGGGCTACTCGTAGTGCATATCAGTTCACCTGTGAAGGCTCGGCAGTCCTTAGCAGGATCTCTGGGCAATATACTTAGTGAAAGAATACTTTTTTCAGCTTGAGCCACATCCCAGTCTTGGCCAAGTGGTTATTTGCCTTTATATATAAAGGATTTCTTTTTTTTTTTTTTTTTAAGATTTTTTTTAAAATATTTATTTATTTATTTATTTATTTTGTGTGTGTGGCCAGCTCAGCCCACCAGGGGGCGGGGCTGGCTGGCATGTGGTGCTGGGGGATTGAACCGCGGTCCCTGTGCTTTGTTTAGCTTAGTTTGTTCTAAGTAGGTGCCTTAGACCACTAAGCCATCTCACCAGCCCCCAAGGATTTCTTAATTAATGTGACACTGGTGCATAGTAGGCTGTGAAGACCTTCGATCATGTGGTGTGCTGGTACTTCTCTCTTGTGGGTACTGTCCATCATTTGTATGGTTCTCTCATTCTCTTGTCTTTTGGAAATTCCATTGTGCTAGTCAGCTTTCCATCACTGGCTCAAAACACTGAGATAATCAACTTAAAAAAGAAAAAGGTTTATTTTGTCTCATGAATTCAAATGTTTCAATCCATGGTCACTTGTGTGCTTTGGACTATGGCATGAGGAGCAGCTCAGTTCATGGTGGGGAGGAAGCAAAGGTGGAGGGCCGAGGACCCCAGTCCCCTTTGAGGGAACGCCTGCAGTGACCTGACTTCCTCACACTGGCTCCTTCTCCCGAGGTTTCCACTGCCTCCCAGTAGTGTCACGGCCTGAGGACAAAGATGGTAGCACACAGGCCTTTGGAGAGTATTCAAAATCCTGACTGGTGTGACCATCCTACTTGGTCAAGACTGGGTGCTGGCGGAGGCCTGCACACTGTTCTTCCTGATGGCCTGCTGCTCCGGGGACTGGGTTGATAATGTGCTTATCATTTAGAGCCCTGAATGAGGCTGGGTATCTTTCCAGTGTAAAAGCAGACTAGCCTATAGTTACTTATAATTTCTACAACTGTAACTGTTTTTCTTTTTTGTGATAGTTTCACTATCGTAGGCAGGCCTCGAACTCATGACAGTCTTCCTGCCTCAGCCTGAGTTCTGGGATTACAGGCATGCACAACTATGCCTAGCTGTCTGTATAACATTTTCTTTTTCTTTTTTTTTTTTTGGTGGAACTGAGAATTGAACTATTTTCTTCCATATTGAACAATTATAAGTTGTTACCTTAAAATTTATCATTATCTGCTGCTGCTAATTAGCTATTGGAGAACTTACTATCAAGTGACATCTGATTATAAAGCAAAATGATTGCTTTACGTCTTCATGTGTTAGTAGTTCCTCACAGACCATGTTCCAGTACCAGAATATAAGATTGACAGCCACTGCCCTGGTGGCCACTAATAGGCTTTGTCCCTGGAAGACTTGGCACATTTCCCTGCTTTGTAAACTGACCAGCAGTTGGTCAAAAATTGTTATTTATTACTAAAATGTTGGACAAAACTTGAGGGCAAGAACAACCCTACGTTGACTTCTGTAGTTTTTCTCTGCAGCCCTTGAAGCCCTCTCTGCAGCGTGTGGTGAGCCTTACCCAGAAGGCTGGGTTTGCCATATTTTTGACCCGGTGTCTCAGCGGGCTGGGGGAGGGGAGTGGTTCTAGCAGTGGAGGCGCTGGGAAAGGGTCAGAATGAAATTCTTTTTTATAGTGCTTGAGCTTTATTTATCTATTCTTCTGAGATGATGTTATCAACAGTTACAGATTCATGTATAACACAGTTTGTGTTGCTTATTTATAATTCACACTATTTTTTCCTCTAAAAATATAAGTATAAAAGCTTAGTAAATAATGGCATACTGTCATTTGGGATTAATTTTATGTTACAGCTTAAAAACTAGTTTTTACTAATTATTTAGCAAATCAATCTGGGTAACAGTCAACTGAATGCTGTAATTTATCAGAAAAAATCCACTGCTTCACCTTAAAATGTATTTTTCTTTAAAGAAGAAAAAATATTACCCTAAAAATAAAGGAATAGTTTTTTTTTTTTTTAAATGCATTTAATACAGGGCCTACAGGGCCTTATTACGAAGCTCAGACCCACAGTGATCCTCCTGTTTCAGCCTCCCAAGAGCCGGCATTACAGGTGCACGCCATCACACCCCGTCTCAGTGGTGTCCCAGCGGTGTCCCAGCGGTGTCCCAGCATGCCCCAGAGGTGGGGCCGGCACTGCAAGCTGGATATCGAACCCCTGCCACTGCGTTCTGCCTAAACAGGCATTTTAATCTGCTGAGCTATCTGGCCAGCCCTTATCCAGAATATCTTTTAAACAATATAAACTCTTCCCAATAGAAAATTGAAGAAAAAAGAAAAACTATCACCATTTTTCCACTGATGAAATCTATTTTAAAAGCATTCTTCAGTGTATTTGTGAACCAGTGTTAGATTTTTCTTAGTCTCTGGCTGCATGGAGACCCTCACTGGCAGCTTCACGGAACAGAAGTCTTGATTGTGAACTAGAATACGTGGAACACCATGGTGTCCTGGTGAGGCAGGCAGTCAGGCCCTCTGGGTAGCAGGTTGAGAAGCACAGACTGAAGTGGGAGGAGCTATATAGGAAGATCCAAAAGAAGCCTAAGACCACTCAGGAAGAAAACCCCTGTGTGTGGGCTCTGTGGGCAGCCAGAGGAGGCCTGGGTTGGGGTGAGGAGAAGCGCTGGTCTAGGGCGGTGCCACGCACAGGCAGAAGCCTCTTGAGCTCTTGCCAGCAGTGGCCAGTGTGTGGATCCCCCTTGGGCATCTGTGTGTGCGGTTTACCCAAGCGAGGACTCAGAGCTGCCAGCACTGAGGTCAAAGCAATTGATAGGTAACGTTTCCAGTGTAGAGGTTGCAGGATGGGCACGGAGGAGCCAGGTCAGGAAAGAATGTGCTGTACTGGCTCCAGAGGTAAATTCTGGGCCATCTGTGCCACCCACAGACTTTCAAATTGAGTTCTGACCCTTTTACTGAATGTGAAGTCAATTTAGTGGGTCAGGATTAGCATTTTAAAAATAAGTTATGGCTGGAGATGTAGCTCCATGACAGACTGTACGTTTACCATGTGCATGGCCCTGGGTTCTATGCCTAGCAGTGAAGAAAAAAAGTCACAATGGAATTGAATTGAAAAGATCATTATTAATATCATAGATCCTGAGAAAGAACTACATACATTAAAAAATAGTTCTGTTTCCTGTTAGAGTATGTTCTTCACTGCAGTGCAAAGTACATGGCTCTCAGAAGGTCATTGCCCACACAGTTCGAGGCAGCAGTGCTCTGATTACTGGCCTGAAAACACTTGTGGTCTTTCTTCCCTCCTTGCATAAGATGTTTTTGAGGTACAGATTGACAGGTTGTAGGAAGTTTTTACAGTGGGATAGGAAGGAAAGGGGTCACAGTGGATCTCAGGGAGGCAGGCTTGCTGAAGGAACCACACAGGTGCTTGGGTGCTTACAATCCCAAGGATACTGAATTTGAGGACAGAAATTATAATGAGCTTTAGGTCATTATAATATCTGAGTTGTAATTTCCAAACCCAGTTTCCTATGAGACCATAGGTCCTACGCTAATTTGGTTTCTCCTTCTATAGCATTGAAAGACACTAATGACAATTTTGGTTAATGTTCCACTACTCTAAATGACATAATTTTGGTAAATGTTCCATGTGCACCTGAAAAGGGCACTGACATTGATGCAGCAGTATGCTTCTTCCTAATATGGCTTTTATTCATATGTGTCACTTCTTCTAATGAATCTTCTGTTCTTACTCTATCAGCTATCAAAAGAGACATTAAAAAGTCTTGTGCTATGATTATAGATTTACCTGCTTTTAGTCTTTTGTGTGTGTGTTTTACATATTTTGAAACTACTACTGATTGTCTCTAGATGTAGCATGTTTATATCCTTGAGAATTGTTTTGTTGTGCTCAGGTTTATTCTGTGTAAAACTACATTGTCTAATATTATTACATTTTGGTTTCTTTTGCCTAATGTTTGCATGGTATCTCTTTTTCTCTCCACTTTCATCTCTATTATGTCCTTAAGGTATAGCCTATGTAACCAACAAATACAGGGTTTTTTTGTTTTAAGTTTAGACTGATTATCCCATAATAGGGACATTTATTTAGTTCATTTACACTTAACCAGTCCAATTATTTAAATACAAGAAAATAAAAAATTACATATTTTCATTAATTTTTAT